GGCTTATTGCATATTTGTTTATGATCACAATAATGTGGGATTGTTAGTGCCTTCTATGAACATTCATGTATGAATCTGATATGGGCACATGCTTTTTCTTGGATTAATACCTAGGAGTGGGAATTTTTGTACGTTGTTTAGATTTATAGGAGACTGAAGACACAAAGATGTATTTTTTTTAGACAGGGTCTTCCTGTAGCCCTAGATGGCTTGGAACTCTCTATGAGGACCAGGTTGGCCTCAGTCTCACAGAGATCTGCCTGCCTCTGCCTCCAGAGCACTGGGATTCAAGGCCTGTGCCACCACACCTAGCTGCAAAGATTTTTAGTAGTAATGGTTGAATGGATGCTGATTAGCATCGGTAGTTCCCTTTCCTTCTCCTTTCTCTCTCTTTTAAATATTTATTTTATTTTATTTGGTCTTTTTGAGACAGGGTCTCCCTGGAGCCCCAGCTGTCCTGGAACTCACTCTGTAGACCAGGCTGGCCTTGAACTCACAGAGATCTGCCTGCCTCTGCCTCCTGAGTGCTGGGATTAAAGGCATGTGCCACCACGCCCGGCTAAGTGTGTGTATGTGTGGGTATGTGCACATATGTGCAGGTGCCCCTGGAGGTCAGAGGCATCTCATTCTCCTGGGGCTGGAGTTACAGACAGTTGTGAGCCACTCGGCATGTGTGTTGGGAACTGAACTCAGGTCCTCTGAAAAAGCAGTATGCACTCTTAAGCGGTGAGTCATCACTCCAGCCCCCTTTCTCTGTTTAAAATCTGTGTGTGCACCATGGTACATGCGTCAGGTCCTCCCTTCCACCTTGGGGCAAGGCTCTTGTTTGCCACTGTGTACTCCAGGCTATCTGATCCCCCAGCTCTTCAGTCTCTTCCTTCCATCTCATCACAGGAGTACTGGGATTTCTGACACACACTACTGAGTCCAACTTGATCTGAGTTCCAAAGATCTGAACATTTGTGTAGCAAGTATTTGTGTAGCAAGTATTTTGCCCTTTGAACTATCTCCTTAGCTCTCTGTTTGTTTGTTTTTTCATGTTTGTTTTCTTTAAAATGGGGTCTTGCTAAGTTGCCCAAGGTAGCCTCCAACCCCTGGGTCTCAGTGATCCTCCTGTCTCAGCCTTTCAGGTAGGTGTGACTCCAGGCGCGGTCCTGGTCAGATCTGCTTGTTTATTTATTTTCTTTTGATAGGCAGTGCTGGAGATGGAGCCTAGGGCATGGCACATACTAATCAAGAGGTCTCCAAGTCAGCCACCCCCTACCCCCAGTTCCCATAGCTTCATTTTTAACAGTGCTCTCCGGGTTGCCACGCACTTGTGCCAATGACCTAGACTTTGAAGTCCTCCAGCTCTGAAAGGGTGCCTCCCTTCAGCTGGAGAGTCCCAGGTTTTGCTCCTAGATCTTGGCCCCTGAAGGGATCCAACTTTGAGATCTGAAGAGGTTGATCTCACATCCCAGGTATCCAGGCCTCACTTAGGAGTGAGCCAGCCCACAGTTTCCCACACTGACATAGCATTATGAGGCTGGATAATTACGATGGAAGCACTCTTCAGCAGCCTTGCCTCGAAGCTTCCTGCGTCGTTTGACTTTATGGAGTCTGAGCTACCTACCTTGTTCGTTTTGGTTCGTAGCCATAGCCTTTAGTGCCCGCAGCATCTCTCCAGCCTGCATGCTCTCTTGGGGATAATGGAGAGTGAGGTGCTCATCCCTCCTGTCACTCATTCATTCTGTATGAGTGGCTTTGAGCACTTTCTTGTTGCTGTGACCAAACACCTGGCAAACAGCATCCTAAGGGAGGGTTTGTGTTGGCTCACCATTTGAGGATGCAGTCCTTCATGGTGGAGAAGGCGTGGTGGCAAGAGTGGCTTGGTCTGTGGCAACAACTAGGAAGCAGAAAAGGGGCCGCAGGAGCCCAACTCTTTCTCCTTTTCTCCTTTTTATTGGTGCAGAGACACTAGTTCATGGGCCTTAGCTTCTGTATTCAGGGAGGGTCTTTGAAAAGTCCGCACAGACACACCCAAAGGTGTGTCTCATTAAGGCCTAAGTGTTTACTAACCCAGTAAGGTTGACAGTTGAAAATTCCTTACTTCCCCCCTTCCTTTTTCCCTCCCTCCCTCCCTCCCTCCCTTTCTCCCTCCCTCTCATCTTCCCTTCCAGGCAGGATCTCTTGTAACTCAGTCTGGTCTCAAACTTGCTATGTAGCTGAGGAGGACCTTGAACTCTTGATCATAAGCTCCTCTCACCGCGCCTAGCTTAGGTAGTGCTTAAGTACTGAAGACACATTTGTGAAAAGATGAAACATTTGCTTTAGAAGAACTGTTGGGGTATGGAAAGATGATATATGGATAAAAAAACACACCGACAATCCCAAATAGCATTAAAGCTCTGTGAAAATCTGGGCGTGGTGGTGTACACCTAAGTTCTAGCACTGTAGAGGTGGAGGCAGGAGGATCAGGAGTTCAAGCTCAGTCTCAGCTACATTGCAACTTCTAGCCTAGAACAAATAAAAACAGAAAAGTTCTCTGAAGAACTAAAACAGGGTGATGGAGGAGAGAACGTCATGCAGGATAAAGTCCCTATGATGTGGAACATGTACTGACAGAAGCAATCAGCACCCATGCCTATCCAGAGCCACACCCCAGCCGCCTGTTACAAGGCCCTGTAGAGTACTTGGAATGTGGCTAGTTCCTTCTGAGAAATGCCACTTGTATAAAATATCCCTGAGTTTCAATAACCTATAACAAAACTAACTAATATATCTCATTAACCATTTTTCACCAGGTGTGGTGGCACATACCTGTAACCTCAGCACTCAGTATGCTGAGGATGGAGGATCTTGAGTTTGAGGCCTGCTATATATTGAGATTCTATATCAAGCAAGCTTTATACTATGATAATAATATTTTTTATTAGATTAAATAACATACTACAATTAATCTCTCTCTCTCTCTCTCTCTCTCTCTCCCTTCCTTTCTTTTTTGTTTTTTGTCTTTTTTTCA